ACGATATTCACCTCACCTTTGGTGAATAATTTTTAAATATAAATAAATAAATGTGGGGGTAGAGGTCGCATCGATTCTCTGACTCTGAGTTTCGCGCCTAAGCACTAGTCAGACAGAACTTTATTCAATGAAGAACATACCTCCTTATAATTGTACAAATTAGATAAGTAGCTCATTAATTCACTAGTGTGGTGATCTGATCTACGTGTGAAATAAAGATTCTATAGAGCTATTGTTGGCAGGTTGGGAAATTTATTTATATAGCTAACTATTTTCCCATGCACTTCTCCTTGATCATCCACATTCATAACCTAGTACAACCTCATAACCTACAACGCTGAACACGTAGCCAATACTCACATGTTTTTCTTTCATGCTTTTGCCTATTTTTTTTCTATTTGATTTTTGCCACTTTTGTTTGTTTCTTTTTGTTTTTTTGTTTTTTTTTTATGGAATTTTTCATTTTGATTTCTGTATTTTTTGCATTTTTTTTTTCTTGGGTGGTTTCTTGTTTTGTTTTGTTTTTGGTTTTTTTCTTTTTCTATTTTCTGGCTTTTTAGACTTTGTAAAACACACTCTAAGTAATGGCTATGAATATATGAAAATCATCTATTAGAACTGCGTAAAACTTATTCTCATTTCGAAATGAGTTCTGTTATTTTGTTTAATAAATTTCACAAGTAAAACTTATTCTCATTTAGAAATGACTTCTGTTCTTTTGTTTAATAAATTTCACAAGCCGCCAACAATAGCTCTATGGAATCTTTATTTCACATGTAGATCAGATCACCACACGAGTGGATTAATTAGCTACTTATCTAATTTGTATATGAGGAGGTATGTTCTTCACTGAATAAAGTTATGTCTGACGAGCGCTTAGGCATGAAACTCAGAGTCACAGAGAATCGATGAGTCCTCTTTGATTCTTTAAGTTATATATATATATATTACAATCACTTTCCTTTAAGAAAGAAAGCACCATTTGAAAAGTGTTATCAATAAAACCTCTATAGTCTATAAAAGCAAAGAAAATTTTCGTGAGAAACTAACTCTAAAATAATGAACTAGAACTGCCTTAGGTTTGGGAAAACAGGCTGTATGAACAAGTGTTATTAGGTTGTTAATAATGAACTAGAACTGCCTTAGGTTTGGGAAAACAGGCTGTATGAACAAGTGTTATTAGGTTGTTAATAATGAACTAGAACTGCCTTAGGTTTGGGAAAACAGGCTGTATGAACAAGTGTTATTAGGTTGTTAATA